ATACACATATATACACATATACACACACACACACACACACACACACACACATATATTGCCTATAATGTATAATTTATATGTGTATTAGGAGGTTTATCATATGGAAGAGGTTAATTTTTTTAGAGGACTTTTCGCTTGTAGAAAATGTATATATGCCTAACCTGCAAAGAGCAGAGTGAAGATGATAGTCAGTTGATATACAGCATGCCCCAGTATGTTTTTCATCATGGTGCGCGAGATAAGTGGTTTGTTACGTCCATATGGTCTACGCAGAAGTAGTGATTCCATAGGGGGTTCCGTGGCTAGTGCAAGAGAAGCAAATGTGTCCATGATCAAGTTGACCCACAGCATCTGCACGGCTTTTAAAGGAGAGTCCTGCAATAAAAGGGTTTAAAGTTAATGATCATTTACATTAATAAAAAACCAATGCGGCCTGTAATACAGGCTTAAAAATGACCTTCCCTCCCCCCCCATCCTGGTTTACTAAATATACTACAAGGTTTGTAGCACTGAATTAAAGTTTAGAGGGTGTTTATAGTCTCTAAAAAAAGTATCATATAGGAATTTACAATATTTGGAAAATGATCATGTTGAACGTTAATACACATATACACAATTTCATTACAAAATTAAAAATGTATAGCACCAATAAAACACATTCATAATGGAAAGTGAATATCGACATGGACACTTTCTGTATTCCTGGGAAGGGAGATGTGGGAGCATAGAGGAGATGGGGAACTGTGGGACCAGAGGGGATATGGGAGGAGAGTAGGAGCAGAGTGGATATGGGGAGAGTGGGAGCAGAAGGGTAATGAGGGTCACAGGTGGTCTCTTCACTGGAGGATTTGAGGATAATAATAGATGAGGATGGATTTAGCTAATCAAATGTGCTATAAAGAGGCAGGTTGGGTTCAGCTGAGTGTGCGCATTAATCTGCAGAGTGAGAATACCTTCATTACATTGCTGGTCAGTGAGAATACCTTCAATGGTGAGAATCCCAGCAATGTTACGTAGGTATATACACTGACCACCAATGTAATATTGGTGGTTGGTGTATATACCTACGTAACATTGCTGGTCAGTGTATATACCTACGTTACTTTGCTGGTCAGTGAGAATACCTACACAACATTGATGTGTATGGCCTCCTGACAAATTGTACAGGATTTTTGCCACCTTCAACCCATCAGAAGCCACAACAGATGTTGCCGGACTCCGCAGAACGTTCTGTGTCACATGATGTTTTCTATATATTATATATAAAATCTGCTTGCAGTGTAATTGGTTGATTCTACAATTGACTAATTTGCAAGCACAAAAAGTGAATATGTAGTTTAATTTTAACCCACCAGTTTGCCTCATTTAGGTAATTTGTTGTTCAGTGAAAAAGCCTGTTTATTCTGTGTGTTTAAGATATCCAGTGTTTTGTTAATGCACTTTAATGGTAATTAAATGTTTTATTTTTATGTATTTCCCTAAAAAGGCCCTGGGCAGGAACTGTCTGCTCTCTGGTGACCAAATAACCCATGATATAAGCTATATAAGAGTAAACAAAGCTAAATACAAATCCATCATAAGTAAATATGCATAGTTACAATAAGTTAAAGTGCATTTAAACCCTATTGATGAAAAAAATATGTTGTTGTTTTTTTAGCATTTCTATATCTGCCACTCTTTCTCATCCCTTGTTTTAGAGAAAAGGGTTCAACCTTTCCCTGCAACCGAAGCAAGGCTGACGTCTGAACTTTCCCCCGACGGTCGCCTTTAAAATAATAGCTGTCATCAGAAGCCGCTGATGACAGCTATGAACTAAAAATCCGGTCGCCCCCGCACCTGTCACCTTCTCCCCACTGCCTGGAGTCGCTTCATTCGTCTCCTCAGATCCCCCACCTGTATGGGCTAAGGCAGCAGGGGGGGGGGGGGGG